CCTGTTCAAGAACTGGAGTTGGGTCTCCGCATCATTCGCGTGATTGTGATTGTTCGTGAGTTCATTAGTTGTTTCATTGCCGAGGGATATTACATTGCATACCCTGGGGCTAACTTTCTTGCTTGCGGCACAGGCGCAGAGTACGATGATGACAAGCGTCGAACGGACGCATGCGCGCTTGATTGCCGCATTCGTGCGGCGATTGAGACAGACGACCTCATTGAGGAATGGGCCCATGACTTGGGCAGACAGGGTCGCGCCGATATCCGTCGTCAGGGCATGAAGTTGCAAGGAGCTACTTACTGGTTATATCCATGCGTAGAGGCAACTGAGCTCCAAGACGTAGATGAAGGCCCCTTTCGCTGTGCCTGTGGTAAGTTTGGTACTTTTGTTGCTACTGCCGCAAGGGATATTATTAGACACGCTAGAAAGCAACGAGTGACGAGCGTTCGTGAAAGGGGAGGCGCTGATGGGCCCTCCGACGGCCAAGCCGATACGGAAGGGACCCCTTTGGCGAAAGCGAGGCCCAGCACAGCTGGTCGCCCCGATCCGCCACCTCCTCCGCGCAGACCCGACGTCCAAGGCGATCGGGCCAACGATGACGTCACTGAATCTCCATACTCTGCCGGCGGTCAAACCGCCGCGGCAGGAGATGAGTACTCGTGGTATTCGTCTGACAGGGGCACATGGGATTGGTCTAGGCCTACGCGCGCGCGCGCGGCGGGGCCATGGCTGCCGGGCGCGCGGCTGGCGACTGCGACCTCTCGAGGCACTACCCGCACTACACGGATGATGTACTGGATGGATACTGGTTTCACCGTGACGTGATGCACTGGATGAATCCCAGGGAGAACCGGGAACGCGCGTGGCATTCTGTGTACCTGAATGACTACAACTACCGCTTTCCGAGAAAGGAAGGAAAGGGTTCCAAGAGCAAGAACAAGGACAAGTACAACAGGTCAGCTCCTTACGCCGGCCGTGGCAAGGGATGCAGATCAACTTCGCCCTATTGGGCCGCTGATCAGACGGGGTGCTCGTCGTCTTCGCATCCGAGACCTCCGTCTCTGCCGCCGGGGCGATACCTTTAACACAAGAAGTGATAGCAGGCAAAGCCCGGGCGACAAAGTCGCCGCGGGCGAGGCCGAGCGAAAAAGTCGTTTCGGCAGAGAGAATGTATTTAACTATTGGTGGGATTCGTCGGGTTTCTCCGGCCCTCAGCTCCCTGGCAACCACCGATGAGCGGTAAAATACTTTTGGGGTTCGCTCCGGTGGCTGCAAATATGTGCAGGCCAGGCGAGCTGTGGCTGGATGGACTACGAAGCCCGCCGCGGGGGGAGTAAATATGCTCCTCTCCGCCTCATACTGCACTTGCCTCTCTTGCTGACTGCCTTGCGACACCTTGACTCTGCGGTACCATTCCGCAGCTATTTGTACTCAGGTCAGAAAAGGAGCGTGCTGCCGCGCGTTCGCTTCCGGGCGTCGGCCGGCCGGCCTCCTCCCTTCCTATGCTTGAGTGCAGTTGCTCAACGGTTACTTGTAGTTTCATCGATGTCTCATCCCGTATCCTCTACTACTGAGCAGAATCAACATGAGACCTTAATTCCTTTGTCGTCTTACCCCGATTCTCAGAGGAAAGACTAGTCGGCCTGGTAGCTGAGCTGTGTTTGTCGTAGTCGTTCTTGCAGTTATGCCTGCCTTTGTTTGTGCCAGTATTCAGATGTTGCTTGTGCTTCTTCGGACTTCTCCATCTTGCATTGTTGGTGTCTGATGTGGTTGGCCGCGTCTTGTTGGCATTGTTCGGCTGTGCTCAGTTGTCCTTGGTAGTGTCGGTTGACGGTTTGTAGGTGCTCTGCTGTGTTGCTGAGGATGATCCTGGTTGCAGCTTCTTCCTAGTAATTGGCCACTGTCTTGGTTTCGTTGTGTTCTGTGCTTATGTTACTGCCTCTCGTGTTGCAAGGACTTCCTGGTCAAAGCTTGCTTGTGCATGGGCTCATTGCGTTTTTTGCCCATCATGCTGTTCTTGGTGCCTTCGTAGGCGGGTGTTCGTGCCAGCGAAGACTGGTAGCTTCCTTGGTAAATCCTTGCTCCAGTAGTTGCAGTCTTTACATAGCCATGTTGATGTATGGTGCTTGTCTCTGCTCGATTGCTGCTTGTTGTGCTTGGTAGTGGGTGTGGATATGTTGTATGATCGTTGCGTGTGTTCCTCTGTTGAGAGTTCTGCTCGGTTGGTGTCTTCTTTGTGGTTGCGCTGTTAGTTGATGGTGTCTCGCTTGAAGCTCGAGCCGGATTTCTACAGTGGTCCCTTGCGTTTTTTTCTTCAACTTTCTCGTGCCAGTTGCGTGCGTTGGCTTGGTTGTCGAGCGACTTGGCGTTGTCGTTTTCGCTTGCTCTAGCTCAGTATGGTAGTGTAGTAATTTGGTGGTGGTTCCTTCGATTTGTTGGTTCCTTTGCACCGTCTGCTCTGCAGCCATCTGTGCGTGTTCCTCTTCGTTAGCTGCATGTCGAACTGCTACCGCTTCTGTGCGGGTGATCCGCTGCTCCGTGATTTGCTGTAGTGTTGGCAGTTGTTCTCGTATGTGATGGTATTCGGTTGATAGTTGATGGGTAGTCGTGTGTTGTTTGTAGTTGTTGTATGGTGTCGCCGGCGCTCGCTAGTCGTGGTTGTGCTTGCTCGTCGTGGGTGCTAGGTCGTTGTGCTGCTCGTAGCTCATGTGTGATTGTGTCACTTGCTTGCAAGTCATGAAGTGCTCTTTTTGAGGAGCGTGTCCACTCTAGTCGCATCGTCTTTTGTGCGCGGGCTTGCTGTAGCTGGCTCGAGTGGGTGCAATGGTTCCTGCTGCTGTGAGTACTGGTTGAGTTGGGTGTATTGTGCTCTGGGTGACGTTGAGTGGTTGCCGTGTGGACTCGGCGTGTGCTGCCGTTGTTGGATGAGCTCTTGCTCGATGTTGGTGCATGTCTTTGTGGGCCGTGGGTTGTCGTCGTGTCGTTGCTGCGCCTGGTTGAGCGTGGCATCGGAGATCTTAGCGTATGCTGCGTAGTCGTCTTTGAGCTGCCGCATGGATTGTATTTGCTCGTGCTTGGGTGTATGGTCCAGGAGCTGCCTTTTGGCAACTGCCAATTCGCGTCGTAGGTGGCCTGCTTGTTGCCAAGTGTTTGTTCAACAGCTAGGATATGAGAGGCTAGCTTCCTGATGCTGGCTGCTTTAGATGTGGTCCATGCTCTACTTCGAGCGGCGTGATGCCTTGTCGGCCGTGTAGATGTTTACCCTTGCTTCTGCCTTTGGTTTGGTGTGTGTGTGTGTGTCCGTACGTGTTTGTGGCCTGTCCCTACATGTATTCTGCCATATTCCGTGTCGGTGGTTGTGCATTGTGGTGTTGGTTGGGTAGTTGTTGAGCTGCTGGTAGCTGTTGGTGCGTTGGTTGATCAAGTAGTGGTTTTGCTGATGCAACTCGTAGTAGTGTGCGTACCGTGGCTCTGTTGGCTCGTGTTTCCCGTTCCCTTCGGTGCCACGTTGGGTTGAGGGATGTGGTCGGGGTCGTGGTGACTGTGAGTGCGTAGGTCGTAGACGTTGATGCCGATGTGGTAGACTTGCAGGCCGTCGATGCCCGTATGCTGCCGTTGTCAATGGCAGTGTCTAGTGTTCGTGCGACGTAGAGGTCGGATATGTGGTGGAGGTGTTGCGTAACGCGGGAGAGAATCAAGATGCATAAGGTAAACCATAATGGATCTGCAGAGATGAACGGAGGGATATAGGCATGCTAGACAATTGGAACGTGGCTGACCTGGTTCTGGTCTGCGCGCTGCTCTCGACTCGCCCGAACCTCCCGGCGGTCAAGGGCCCGTGGTTTCTTCTTCTTCCTCCTCCTCCTCCTCCTCCCCCTCCTCGCCCCCCTGCCTTTGACTGAGGGAATGTGAAGGGAATGCACCTCCTCCCACTCCTCCCGCGCGGGGGAAAAGGAAGGAAATATTAGTCCTCCACCATCCTGCGGGAAAGGGGAGGGGCGGAACCTCCTCCTCCTTCCTGAAGGGAAATGAAGGGCATGAGCCTCTTCCTCCTCCGTCCCGAGGGAAAGTTGAGGGGCGGAATCTCCTCCTCTTTCCCGAGGGAAAATCAACGGAATAAGCCTCATCCTCTTCCTTCCTTAGGGAAGTGGAAGGAATCTCCTCCTTCTCCAGCATCCTGAGGGAAAGAGGGGGGGAGCGGAATCTTCTCCTCCTCCCGACGGAGAGGGAGGGAAATTAACCTAATCATATTTTCTTCCACTTGAGGGGAAGGGAAGGGGATGAAACTCCTCTTCCTCCTCCTCCTCCTCTTCATCATCCTTGGTGAAGCCGTGCTCCTGGCGAAGTGAAAAGGCAGTTCGGTTACAGAAAAAGACAGACAGGGAGATACAGTGAGGTAGCCATTTAATATACATATGTATACATACATAAATAATAATAATAATCATACTCATAATCATAATAATAATATTATTATTAATAATAATAATAAATATTAATACTAATAATAATACTACTACTTATAATAATAAATAAATAAATAAATACATAAATAAATACATAAATGAACACATAAATAAATAAATAAATAAATAAATACATAAATAAATAAATCAATAAATAATAATAATAATATGATTAATAATAATAATAACAATAAATAAAGAGATAGAACAAGAGAGAAAGAGAGAGAGAGAGAGAGAGCGCGAGAGAGGGAGAGGGAAAGAGAGAGAGAGAGAGAGAGGGGAGGCACGAGGAGCGGAGTGAGAGGGAGAGAGAGAGAGAGATACAGAGAAAGAGAGAGATGAGAAAGGGATAGAGAAAGAGAGAGAGGGAGAGAGCGAGAACGACAACGAACACCGCCCCCGAACGAACCTCCCCGGAATCGCCCCTCCAGAAGTGACCGACCTCGAGCGCGAGGAGGAGGAGGAGGAGGAGGAGGAGGAGGAGGAGGAGGAGGAGGAGGAGGAGGAGGGAGGAGGGGAAAGGGGGAGGCGGGAGCGTGCTAAATCACATGAGGTATACTGGCGCTGGCAGCGGAGCGGCTTTCGCGACAGTGCGGACGGAGGCGCTGTGCATCTTGGCCGCACAGTCTGTGGTCCGCCTCGTCCTCCTCGCTCCCTCACCCTCGCCCTCACCCTCACCCTCCACCCTTTGCCTCTCGAAGAATAAACGCAGGAATTTGTGTGCAGGCGCTAGACCCCCCCCTGGCGGCGCCTGCGGCGTCGGAGAGCCGTTCGGATTTCCGAACACTTTGGTCCATGTTGCTTTCCTTTCTGCTCTGTGCCATCACAGGTCCAGCTTGCCTCTGGGGCGCCGAAACACGTGAAGCACTCAGGGAAGATCCCCATCCGTCGACCAGTGCTCCATCGGTCATCCGGGAGGGCCGCCGTCATCTCGACCGGCCCTCCAGATCCGTCGACCAGTGCTCCATCGGGGCGCTGACTCTGGCCGATGCGCCGATCCATTGGGTTCGGGGCCATGGCCGATCGGGGGCCAGCCGGTCGATGGGGTGCTCGGTGATGCGGGAGGGGACGGGCCCGATCCCTGGACCAGGAGCGGGGTCGGGCCGGCTCCCCCCCGGGCTCCAGGACTGTCAGGGAACGACTCGAGACGAGGAGCTGGTCCTGGGCGTTTCCCCCGGACCAGCTCTCCGTCCCGAGTCCTCTGCTGACTCACCACCCACCAAACCACCCCAACCCAACCCGAAGGCCTCAATTTATCCTCGATTTCCAGTGGGGGGGGGTCGGGGAACGTTGAGAAAACACATGGAATCCGTACCCCCCCCCCAACCCGAAATTCGGGTCAAATTCGGGTCTTCGGGTTGGGTTGGGGTGGTCTGGTAGGTAGTCACTGACGGCCACTGGGGCTCGTGGGGGGCCCCGAGTGCCCGAGGTTGACGAACAGCCTCCAGGGGGCGCTTCTGTCCAGGGGGCGTCAACAGGAAGGCGTGTACACCTTAGGCGATGCTTAAGAAAACCTAAGTTTTCGGCCAGAGTCTCGATTATTCTTAACGTTTCGATGTAAATCCTAAGATGTTCATGGAAATGTTGGGTTTTTATTCAAATTCTGAGACTATGAATTTCTTAACCCATGATTTCTTAAGCATTTCGCAGGGTGTACACCGATCCTGAGCCCAGGATGGGCCCGCCCAGCATCGGTGTGGTGGTCGGTTTGCGTCGCCCGACGCTGAGGTGAAGGACATCTCCGAGCTCCTCAGCGCCAAGCTCGCGCCCCGCAGGCTCGGCGGCTCGCTCTCCGCCGCGGCGCGGGTGGCGGCTGCGCTGTGCGTCACCGAGCTGGTGGGGATGGAGGCGCTCGGGGAAGGGAGCGCTGCACAGCGCTGATTTCTCTGCTCAGCGCTGGAACCCCTGGCGGCGCCTCCCGCGCCGCCCCTGGCGCGCTCTGCGCGCCAGGCAGGGGGGTCCAGCGCCGACCCAAGAAGCCCGCGCAGACCCACGACAGTCTGTGTGCACTGGTTTCGTTTCTCTTCCAGGCGTACCTGGGGCAGACCGTGCCAATCACGAGGGACCCGTTCCAGCTCTTCGTGCTCCTGAACGAGGGAACCTCCGACGAGGCCGCCGCGCTGACGCGGCTGGTGCTCGCCCTGGTCCGGCGACGGGGCCTGGCGCAGCTGCCGATGTGGCTGCAGACGTTCAAGGAGGTGATATTGGCGCTGCCGAAGGGCTCGGGCCCGGTGCACACCAAGGAGGATCAGGGGCAACGACACAGGTGGGGATGCATATGTTCAGGGGTGAACGCATCGATCCCCAGTCGCCCATTCATCGCCGATTGGGGCATGATAGCCCACCGCACCCAGCAGCGCTGGATTTCGCAATCGAGGGCCTATCGCCGATCCATCGGCGATGTATCGCCGATTCCAGGTCAATGTTCCCACCCTTAGTCAGTCCACCCTGATCGTTCTCCCTCAGAGGAGGCCGCCGCCGCGCAGGACAGGGCGGCGGAGGAGCACGACGCGCATGACGATGGCGCGGCAATCGCGGGCGCCTCGACGAATCCCAGCGCTGGTGCCGACGAGAACAGCCGGCCGCCGAGTGGTGCCACCAAGGCCTTCGCAGTGTCGTGCTTACAGACGCTTCTCGAGCAGGCGGACCCGGCGGACGCGAGCCACTTTCAGTGCGAGTTGTCTCCAGGCACTCCATCCAGCAAGGCGGCCGCCGGAGAGCGCGACTGCAGGCTGGTGAACTATCTAGAGATTATGGTGTCTCTTGCAGCGCACGCCTGTGGCTCCGACGAGCCCTCGCTGGCTGCTGCGGGGCTGAGACTGGCGCTGCTGATCGTGAGCCGGTTCCGTCTTACCCGGGACGTGCAGGGCCAGACGGCCACAGAGGATTGCCCGCTCCTCTTGGTGCAGTTCGAAGCGCAGATGACCACTTGCATCCGCCACAACATGAGCCCTGGGTCAAATCCCCGAGTTCAGGCCCTGGCGCTCGAGCTGCTGCGCGACATGATAGCCACCAGGGCCTGCAACTCGGTGCAGCCGCTGACCATGAAGCTCATGCAACCTTTCGGCAGCGCTGCCTTCGAGCCAGACGAGAAGTACTGCGAATGCGCCTCGACGAAGACTTTCCTTTTCCGGCTGAGGAGCGCATGCGAGGTCTTGGACAGTAGTTTCGAGGAGCCAACCATCGGCGGGCACGTCAAAGACTTGGCCAGGTGGATGGAGAGCGCGCTGCGCGACAGCGCCGTGCTGCTGGCAGGGCTGCCGCTGCCGAGTATAAAGACCTACCAGCCCGCCTGCTTCTGCCTCGCGGACTACAAGGCGGTCCAGCCGTTTTTTCAGGAGCTTAGCTGCATCGGTACGCCCGTTGTGGGACGCAACACGTCCCGTGCTCAAAACGTCCGTGTCAATACGATGCGTGTTGGCTCAGCGTATTGGCCCACGTTTTGGCGAACGCATCGCGTCAGACCTACGTTTTGACTCTACGTGTTGAGCTCCTTATCAATTCGCTACGTGTGGCGTGTCGCGTGTCGGGGCAGCTAAGTTCAGGAGACATTGCCGCCGATATTGCGCGGGGTCTGCGTTCTGTGCAGGGACGCCAAGCTGCAAAGTGTGTCCTCCGACTTCGTCGCCCTGGCCCTGGGCATCGTCGTGCTGCTGCTGGGCGATGCGTCACGAGAGCGACCGGAGGCGGAGCTCAGGGTTTACGTCCGCTTGGTCAAGCAGGCTGCGCTTCACGCCGCGATGCTAAGCCACAAGGACGCCGGGTGTGCAGGGCCAGAGGCTTCGAAGAGGATAACACTATGGAACATAACATGTCGGAGGTCCTGGCGGATCGCTTGGATCGGTGCTCGAACCCCCTCCCTGGCGCGCGGAGTGCGCCAGGGGCGGCGCCAGATGTGCCACTAGGGGGGCCCAGCGCTGATCCGAGCAATCCGCGCGGACCTCCAAAAGGTTCTGGTTTTAATATTGTTTAAAGAGCGCGTTCTGTGGTGGCTTGGAGGGGTGGGGGGGGGTTGGAACTGGACCCCCCCCCTCCCCCCCTGGATGCAGGGAGGGGGGGGTCGAAACGTCCCCCACCCCCTTCCGCAACGGAGGGGCAACGCGGGGTCCCCCCCCTCCCCTCCCCTACTTCTCTCTCCCTCTCCTCGGGCCGGCGCCTGCGTCGGCGGCGGCTGGCGACGGCGGGGACGACGATTTCCTTTTCTCCAGCGCCGGCCGCCTGCGGCGGCGGGCGGCGGCGGCGGGGAGAGTCGACGAGGACGACGGCGGTGGTGGTGGTTGTGGTGGGTTGTGGTGGTGGTGGCGGTGGTGATGGTTGTGGTGGCGGTGGTGTGGTGGTTTGGTGTGGTGGTGGTGGTGGTTGTGGTGGTGGGTGGTGGTGGTGGTGGTGGTGGTGGTGGTTTGGTGGTGGTGGTGGGGTGGTGGTTTGTGGTTTTGGTGGTGGATTGTGGTGGTGGTTTCGTGGTGGTAGTGGTTTGTCGGTGGTGTGGTGGTGGTTTGTGGTGGTGGTGGTGGGTTGTGGTGGTGGTGGTGGTTTGTGGAGGTGGTGCTGGTGGTGGTGGTGGCGGTGTTGGTGTTGGTGGTGTGGTGGTTTGTGATGGTGGTGGTGGTGGGTTGTGCTGCTGGTAGCGGTGGTGGTTGTGGCGGTGGTGGTGGTGGTGGTATGGTAGATTGTGGTGGTAGTAGTAGTAGTAGTAGTAGTAGTAGTAGTAGTAGTAGTAGTAGTAGTAGTAGTAGTAGTAGTAGTAGTAGTAGTAGTAGTAGTAGTAGTAGTAGTAGTAGTAGTAGTAGTAGTAGTAGTAGTAGTAGTAGTAGTAGTAGTAGTAGTAGTAGTAGTAGTAGTAGTAGTAGTAGTAGTAGTAGTAGTAGTAGTAGTAGTAGTAGTAGTAGTAGTAGTAGTAGTAGTAGTAGTAGTAGTAGTAGTAGTAGTAGTAGTAGTGGTGGTGGTGGGTTTTTGTGGTGGTGGTGGTTGTGAGTTGTGGTGGTGATGGTTGTGGCGGTGGTGGTGGTTGTGTGGTGGGTTGGTGGTGGTGGTGGTGGGTTGAGGGGGTGGTGGTGGTGGTAGTGGAGGTGGTGGTGGTGGTGGTGATGGTGGTAATCGTCGCTGCGTCATCGCCGTCGCCGGCGCCGGGGGGAGGGTTGGAACCCCCCCTGGGGTGCCTCTGGTCATCGTCGCTGCGTTTCCGCCATCGGCGCTGCTGGCGGCCGTCAGCCCCGGCGCCGGCGCCGGTGCCGGTGGGGGGGCGGGTTGAACACCCCCCCCTTGGGAGGGGGCGGGGGTTTGGGAGGGGGGATCTAGGGGGGAGGGGGAAACGCGCCGCCGAATGTTCCCAAGGCAAGCGCCCGTGAAACGCGCTCTCTCTTATGTTTGTTCCTCCACTCGGGGAAACGCAAGACCCGGGTACGCTGGAACTTGGGATCGCCGAGGCTTTTTAACGAGCGCGTCGTGGATTTTGACGGTCTGGTTTTCGTGGGGCGCCTGCAGCGGGAGCTCGCGCCAAGTTTCAGACCAGGTCTCGTAATCTTCATGATGGCCTTGTCAGGCCAACCCGAGTCCCCCGAACCCGAGTGTTACGTCTCCCCGATCCGAGGCTGGCCCAGGGTCGGTGGTCACAACCACTTATCTCCTGGACATGCTGCAGTGCCTGTGGCAACGGCTGTTCCGGGTGCCGGCCCGCTGCGCTGCGCTGCTGCCCGACCTCCTCGAGGCCCCCCGGCGCCCGGCCAGTCAGGGGGTTACCCTGGCGTGCAGTGCTTGGAGGCGACGATAGGGGCGAATAGTTCCGGGGGGGGCAATACATGTATCCAGGGGTGCCGATGATCCATGCCTTTAGCGAGGCTGCGTGTAATACCCGCCCCTGGGCTCTTCTACTCGCCTTTTATCGTCGCCGCCGACATGGCGACCCCTTTTCGAGGCCCGGCTCTACACCGTATATCTACCGTTTCGGGAGCCGACGTCCCAGCACACCAGGGCAGTGGACATTGTCTTCTCGGACCCTGGGGGTGGGCCCAACGATATCGCGTCTGTGGCCTCTTGGGGTCATGAGACATGGGTTCCCGGTTGGATGTGTATACAGTCGGGCCGCTGAAGAAGGAACCCTTTTCGTTTGGGAGGGGCTCCGTGTTCCTTAGTTGTTTTACAGTGCTCCTTGGGTTTTCCTGAGGTTTTCCATGGAACATCGGAGGTTAACTTACGGGAAAAGGGGACCTCGTTCCTTATGTTTCGTTCCTTGGGTCAACGCCCCGACTGGAGCTTCTGGCATCCTGAGACGGTGCCTGAATTGCAACGCCGAGGGGTGGATGGTATTTCTCAGCCTCCTCCCCCCCTCCCTGGAGATAGCCCGCCAGCGCTCCAGAGAACCAAAAAGATAACCCCCTCCTCCTCCTCCTCCTCCTCCTCCTCCTCCTCCTCCTCCTCCTCTCCGCCTCTTCCCTGCACTCACAGCTCTTGGCTTCCTGGGTGAAGGTCTTCGTTGGTCAGGTTGCCTTGTCGGGACCAAGGTCTTTCCCGACACGCGACTCTGCGATCAGAGATTGAATAAAGGCAATGAGAGGGGATGCGAGGGAGGGGCAGGACGTCAGAGATGACGCGAGGGCACCCATTTTGTCCTTCTCCCTCCTCCTGAAGCTCCTGCACGCCCTGTCCGCCGCGATGTTCCGGCACCGGCAGAAGCAGGAGGCGCCCGTCATTGGCTTGCTGTCCGAAGTCATGTGGCTCGACGGCCTCTGCCAGGACACCGGTGAGGAGCAGGGAAGGGGAGGAGGGGGAGGAGGAGGGTCAAGATAGCCAGCTCGAACGAGTCGGCGGGCCCCGCCGACTGGTTCGAGCACGCATTGTCATTGGAGCTGAGACCATGTCTCCCTATTTGATATTACATCATTGGGATCCTATGGCCTTGGAGCTACGGGCGAAAATGAGGCCAGGCTGTTCAGGAGCAACGGGAAAGTCAGGCCTCGCAAACGCAATGGGTATGAAAGTCGTCTGTTGTTGGGCACCCCGAGGCTTCCCGAGCCACCCCCCAACCCAGCGCTCCAGAATGCGACGGCTATAGACGAGGAGCTGGGCTCTCGCGGTGGCCTGGGAGCTGAACGATTTCTTCCCGACCATCCTGTAGAGTTGTGTTTTCGCCTTGAAGAGACAGCGCCCCGCATTCCTTCCTCTCCTCATCTCCTCCTCCTGCTCCTCCCTTCTCCCATGCTTGCCTCTGCTCTCCGCATGTCCGTGTCGGCGCATCCCTCACATGTTTCGCGGCCCCATGGGGAACTCCACCCAAGGTCACAGTGGCAGTGATCACATGCGGTTTTCCGCCCATCTCGGCGAATCCCTCACACGTTTCATGGCTCCACAGGGATCTCCACCCAAGGCCCCAGTGGCCCATGTTGGTTCAAGCGAGCCGAAACGTCCGTGCCGAAAAGTCAGCTGGAGCGTCCGAGCCGAGCCGGAACGTCCAGCCCCTGGGGGCCTGGGGGGCGGGGAAGGAACAAAGGAGAGAGGGCGGCGAGAATATGGGGGACAATGCTAGTGGGCAGGTTAGGGAGGCGCAGGGCCCCGCGGGCCAGGACAGTGGCTTGGGGCTGAGGGTTGACTCTTCCCTACTCCCTACTCCCCACCTCTCCCTATTCCCTACTCCCCCTCCCATGGAACGAACTATACGACTACGCCTTGTTCTTCGCGTTTTCATGGATGGCGAAGCATTCGACGTAGAAACCTTATCGGGCACAGCTCGTCGAGCAAGCCAGAGATTGCTCTCCAGCGCGGCCGTGCGCAAGAAACAGTGGATCACGGCATCCATGGATGTTGATGAAGCTTCCTTGAAAGGTCTGACCTTTCGTGAGTTGGCAGAAGCCATTGGAGAAAGAGCGCATGGTCTGCTTCACTCTTCCACCTGGTTCAGCTTCGGTGCTACGTGCGTTGCCCAGCTTCTTGTCCCAAGACGAGTCAAAGTACTGTCTACAGTGCCTTATGCCCAGGCACAGGCGCCAGAGACGCCCCGAGGGAATTCCCACTGAAGCTCAGAACCATCACGCGAGGATTCGGGCTAAGACCTACGAAAGACGACGAAATATTCGAGACAATCCCAAGCCTTTTAACAGCCAAGCACGTCGATGACATAATAATGGCAGGAGCGGAGGAGACGCATGACAAGTACGTCAAGCGCGTAGGAGAGAACAACAAAAAAAACACGCTCGGCTCATGCGAGCGGAACAAACACTGAACGAGGGCGGCCTGGTCCAGCTAAATCGGGATGATTACATGTAACAGCTTCGCCCGATACAGCACCCAGAACTTTCGAGCGCTGTAGCGGAAGAAAAAGCAACGAAGGCAGTATCCGACATGTTCATCAGTTTACGCGGCGCCTTGGCGCATGTATTAATGACTCAGGGGCGGTTAATGGTATGCGTTGTATCCTTGCGACGCGCAAAGGAACCTACAAACCTCCAATCACGAAGGCTCCACGCCGCCACACGCAAACTTCAGCAATGTCCAAAGAAGATACAGATCAGCTCATGACCCCGACAGGAGATGTGGACCTTCACAGAGACTTAGGACATCGTCGCCTCAGTGGGCACGAAGATGACGGGGCAAAGGGATATGGCATCCAATGGGCCAACCTTCCACTGCGCAGACACGCGCCTAATGGCAAAGCAGTAGCACATCTGCTCGATTCGCAATACAAGTCGCATCGCTGACAGGTGCGTGCCAGCTGTTCAGCTGAAACACTGTCAGCCGCTCAAAATCTTGACGACTGCTACCCTACCGTAGTTACGCTGCATGAGCCGTAGTTACGCTGCATGAGCGTAAAGCTGGATCCCATAGCGCCCACTCCACTTAACATTCCCGAGTTAGGTGGTCTCAGCATTAATTAACCATAGACGCTGAGTCGGTCTGTAATTCTTTGTCAAGTAAGGACTTGAAGAAGCGCCGACCGATTGCACCCTGCTGGGACACGTCAGCTGGAGGAGACAAATGATGGACCGAGGTGTAGTTCATAGCGCACAGTGGTGTGATGCACGGGACATGACTGCTGACGGTCATACCAAGGGGTGCATCGATCGCGCGCTACTGCTGCAAGTGATGGTGGGCAATCAGCCCTTCAAGTGCGAAGTAAAGAAGTACATGCCCTATCGAGACAAGAAAGACACAGCGCCAACACTGGGGGGCCCCACTCAGGGCCAGCGGGTATCAATGAGGACGACTATCCAAACGCAGTCAAGTAATTACCCTTGCCCAGACACGGGTATGCAGACCTACAAATAGTTACCCTTGCCCGGCCACGGGCATATATGTTCATCGCTCCACGGCTACCATGAGCACCCTGACACGGACGCTATTCATTCTTAATTGTTTTGAGGGGGCCAGACCGCCTGCTCGCATCCCCTCACGCGCTGTGCGCTTTGACGTCCAGCCCAGGCAGTCGCGCGGTCTTGCTCGTGACTGCCCAAGCGCATGCGGCCGTTCGCGGCAATGCGCCGCGACCGGCCCGAATGTGCAATGCAGGAAGGGTTCGCTTCGGATCCGAAGGAACAGGAAGCGGGCCGGCGCGCCCTCGGATCGCGCGGAAGCAAGCGGCGACCTGTCGAGGAGAGGACGGGAGCCAGAACCCGGCAAGCCGCGGAAGGACAGAACCCAGAGCCAGGCGAGCCAACCAGAGGCCGCGGCCTCCCGGGCCAGGCCAGGATGGGGACCGCCGCAGAGGGCGCCGGAGGAGGACTCGAACTCGCGGCCCCACCTTCCCTGGCCCCAGGTGCCCAGGCGCCCCCGCGCGGGGCGCCCCCCGCCGCGGACTGGGCGCGGCGTCTGCGGGGCGACCGCCCGCTCAGGGGAGCGGCCGCGCCCGGCCTTCGCCCCGCGCAAGCGGACTCATCCGACGAGGGCGGGGGCGAGGACTCGCGCTGGAACGTGCCCGCGAGTCGGTCTCCCCCAGCGCATGAGTTAGACTAGGGGACCACGGGGCAGCGCGTCAGCACGGGCGACTTCGACCCGCAGGATAGAACACCGAGCTAGGCGCGGAGGTTCGCCAATCAATGAGGGCCCCATGCGCCTGCTAGCGGGCAAGGCCCTCGGATCCGCGAGGTCGGCTCGGATGCGACGGCAATGCGAACTGTCTTGGCCTTTGTCGCGAGTTTGCCTGCGGAGGCACCTGCTAGGGTCTTTGGCTACTCGCCGACCGAGCAAGGAAACTTGCGGATGACTGCAGCGAGTCGTCTCTCACCCGAAGTCAATTTTGCCTCGCAGTTCCCCATCGTAAACTGCATAGGAAAGAAAACGCTGCAGCGGTGCGTATGGCCAGAAGCACCCGCGGGTTTCTGGCAGCGCCTTGCGCTGGCAGCTGCGCCCTGGTATACTATGACATCGACGTCACACCGGGGATTCACCGCTGCGGATCCGAAGGTACCGCTCTCGACATTCATGACGTCACTGGAACCACGCGCGCACGAATCATCCAGCGCTTGAAGCCTTCAAAACGTTCTAGCAGGTTTTGATTAGGACCTTTCAAAGTTTGAGGACCTGGCGGGCGCGCCAGCGTCGGGCGGCCACGCCCAAGAGGAATAACGACTTCCAGCGCGGGCCGCATTTGACGGCAGGCTACCGCCATTGCTGAATAATCAGGTATTGATTTGGAAGCGCACATCAGGGAAAAAAGCAGTGCGCAGAGCTCCAAGCGGAAAAGGAACTGCCGCAGACTCCCTTTCATGGGTGCCCCTATGCTCTGTGCCCGCCGAGATGGTTACAGACAACCACGCGCTCGCGGCTGTGGCCAGTAAGGAGCAAGGGCACTAACGACGAAGAGGTCATGCTGCGTGGATACGTGACACCGACGAAATCTTTCTGGTACCTTGGACCACAGAATGCGGCGAGACTTACGATCTCGCTCGGACGAACACAGTCAGTATTGTGAGCTACGCTAAACAACTGTCACGGCTAAGGTTGCTCTGTCAGAGCAACGAGGCAAATCACTGCGCAGCGACCAAGTAACCACTGCGCGCGGGCATGTCTCAGCCGCAGCTAGAAGAGCCGGGGTCGTCGAGGAGGGCGACCTCTTGACGACGGCAGAAATGCAAGCCGATCCGGCAAAGATATCCGAATCTCTGTACATTGAACTCGAACTATCGTACGATAACAAAAGCTTAAAGATGCAGGACATCAGGAATGCCACCAATAGCATGACCTCTAGGCGCGGGCGCAAGTGGAAGTTTGTCACAAACGGCAAAGGTGACATGGAACGAACTACACGACTACGCTTTGTTCTTCGCGGGCTTATGGATGGCGAAGCATTCGACGTAGAAACCTTATCGGGCACAGCTCGTCGAGCAAGCCAGAGATTGCTCGCCAGCGCGGCCGTGCGCAAGAAACAGTGGATCACGGCATCCATGGATGTCGATGAAGCTTCCTTGAAAGGTCTGACCTTTCGTGAGCTGGCAGAAGCCATTGGGGAAAGAGCGCATGGTCTGCTTCACTCTTCCACCTGGTTCAGCTTCGGTGCTGCGTGCATTGCCCAGCTTCTTGTCGAAAAACGAACCAAAGCACCGTCTACAGTGGCTTATGCCCAGGCACAGGCACCAAAGGCGCCCCGAGGGAATGCCCACTGAAGCTCAGAACCATCGCGCGAGGATTCGGGCTAAAACCTACGCCACACGACGAAGTATTCGAGACAAGCCCAAACCTTTTAACAGCCAAGCACGTCGATGACACAAACATGGCAGGAGTGGAGGAAACGCATGACAAGTACG